GTAATACATGACTTTGATGGGAAATCACCTTCGCTGTCCAATTGTAGGTCAGAGTTTCGAAAACTTTCAATTTTTCCCGGGAAAATCACCGGTAAAACTTTAAAGTCAAATATTTCAAAAAGTAGACTTTTAAGATTTTTTTTAAATAGTCTAGATTAGAAGATTTGGAAATTTCCCATCGATACAGATATTTTTCCAAGGGGGTCTTTGATTTTAATGGGATATAGCAAGAAAAAGAAGAAAAAACATAGTTGTTGGAAGTTCAGCCGGCGTGACACGCACACAAACAACGATTTTTATTCTTTTTTTCGCTATAATACGCTAAAATTAAAAAACGGACTTTTGGAAAATAGCTGTTTGGATGCGAAATTGCCTCCTCTTTCGATCTAACCTAATAAAAAAAAACTTAAAAATATCCTTTTTGAGATTTTCGACTTCAAAATTTTCCTGGCAACTTTGAGGGAGAAAAAGAAAAATTTTCGAAAATCTAACCACACCATTGGAAAGCTGAAGTAATTTCCTATCTAAATCTTATATTACTTATTTTTTTAGGAGGATTTAGGGGCTTCACTGCTGAGTTAGAAATTGTGCGATTTCGCGTAATAATGTCGCACGGGCGAGCTATTGGAGATTTGACGTGAAATGACTGATATTTTATCTCTTTTACTCATGAAAGAAGTCTTATTTGTTCTTAGATTGTGGAGTAGCGATAAATAAACTTACAAATTAATACTTTCAAAATTTTCCCGTTTTTACGTAGCGTGAGTAATTTTCAGGAAAGTTTAATAATCACATCTCCTTGTTCGTAATATCGGCTCTCAGCCCCAAGCAGAACTCTTTTTATTACATCCACATTCACGTCCACATGCATAGTCATGTATATTTCACAATTCTCTCCCTTGACGTATTAGAGCCGAAGAAGTAGTAGCAGGTCGAAAAAGCTAACGCTATAGCCTAGCAGTAGCGTACATGAAGATTGCTTGTCACTTCTTAGTCGTTGAATGTGCATGGAAAATACGTATCGGGCAATCGCGTTTCAAACATTCACACCCACCCTAGTGAAAGCACACGTGACAAACACACGTGTACGGCTGCAGCCTACACATACATGTACGCGTTTATGTACGGTGGAGTCGATACGAGCTTTTTGGAGGACTGTAGTATAGTATATGGTACCTATATAGTAGAACTAGTTGTGGAAAACGAAGAGATGTTGAAAGGTGGCTTCAATATGCTTCGCTGACGGTAGTTACCGACCACTCCGTTGTGGTATCGGTCGCCTTGGTTATTTAGGAAACCATATCAAAGTTAGAGTTGGCTCGACCGTCGACGACGCTCTCTCTTTCTCCCTCTACTCTTTCTCTCTCTCACTCACTCATATACGAGTAGGACGACGACGTTGATATGAGAGAGGATCGTCGATGTAGTACAGTAGCTACTTCTGCTTGTATGCGCCGTATATAAAGAGAAGCTGAGAGTACCTAGGCGCCTTGGACAATGAGCCAGTGATTCCAGTCTCTCTCTCTCTCTCTCTCTCTCTCATTTGAATCTACTTCAAGGGGCAGCTGGGTTCTACTGTCCATTAAGTCATGTGAGCGTCTATGTGTGTACAGAAGCTTTCTCTGAGGAACGTAGACTACTAGATAATAGTTAGCTTGAAAATCGATTCTGTATACACCGACTTGACTTCCAGATAGACATACAATCTGAGTAATAAATTTTCCGTTTACAGACTCATTGAAGCTCGAAAAATTATGTAGGTGCAGCTTAAACGATGAAATAATTATTATTGAATGGAACCACAAGGCTTGAAAATCTTTCAGAAATACGAAATAGTACTTTTGTGCTGAAAGAAATTGAAAAAATATATAGTGGCTATGTTAAAAGAAAAAAGAATAGTATAGGTGCTCAAAGCACTATGTTATTGACTGGGCAAGCCAAGGAAGAGATGAGACAGCTTTGACAACACTGTGCACTCACTCACACTCTTGGTTTTACACAGGCGAGACGTGGAAGGAAACAGAGAAGTAGAAAGACTTATTCTTCTGCCTCTTAATTAAATTTTTCGACCCTTCGTCTTAAAGGAATAGTGGAAATCCAGGCAGACCATACTCGAGCTTATCTTGTGCGACGCCAACAGCGTCGATAACATGGTGCTACGTTGCTGATAACTTAGCTTTCCTTGGAATCACTAGAATTATTGCCGTTTTTAGGCTTTTTTAATTTTTAATACGTGCTTATCCTCATACCAACTTGCATTTGCTTCGTAAAATATTTTTTAACATCTTGAAGATTGAAAAATAACTCGTATCCTTTGATATATCTTGGAATTCTTCAATTTTTTTTATAGTTTCAAACTGCGGTTCAGTTTTGTTAACACTATATAGCTGTTTATAATAATAAAGTATCATGATCGATAGAAGACATTTCTGTGCGAATACAACTTTTTATTTTTGGGAAAAAGCCTTCCCGATAATACATTCAATTCTGATCCTAGCTTATTTTTTTCCGCCTTTTCTTGGTGTAGCTTCATCTTATCGAAGAGTGAGCCACAAGAAAACTATTCCATTGACGGCACGTATACTTGTCCGAACTCTCAAAGTTTTGAGACGCTCCAAGCTAAGGTTGATAAAACCGCAAAATTTCCCCAAGCCTGCCGCTGGACAATACAAAAAAAACATTACAAAAACGTTTGTGTATAACCATGCGCTACAGCTTGTACATCAAATCGATCGATTGCTCGTCCGTCATTAAATCCACAAAACTCGTAGCAGCAGCGTTACTCGTAAGCAGCAGTGGCGAGGCCTGTTGATTTCGCGCATCTGGCATTTAGCAGTCCAGTCTAGTTCAAGAGTGAGACGAAGGGGGTAATACTTCTGTTAGTCGTTCTCTCTCTCTTCCTCACTTCTGTGATCAATATTCCTTACCCCCTTTGCTTTGGCTCGTTTTCTAGCTAACCCCTCTGGGCTCTGTACCCCCTTCGTCTTTGCAGCCCAGCCCCAAAGCCCAACGCAAAACTCTGGAGCTGGAAAGCTCGCTCTCCCGCGTACCCTCGTCTTAATTAGGAGTCTGAGTCTGCGGCGGACATACGTAAGGGAAAAGAGAGAGAGGCAGCTAGGGTACCAGGCATGTGGATAAAATAAAGAAAGAGAGAGAGAGAGAGAGAGAGAGAGAGAGAGAAGCTCGTGTCCGAAACATTATCCCAACTTTGCACTGTATTCTACTCTGGCACATCTAAGCATTACTGCCCCCGAGAAATGGACGTGCAAGACGCGCGCACGCACGCGAGATGTTGTTTTCTCTTGCGAATCCTTTTCGCTCTCTTTTGATTCGCATGGAACAACAAGGTACATATGTGTGTACTATGTTTTTTACTGAACGAGTTTGCTCCGACTATACGAACATGCTTTTTCCATGTTCCCAAAAGTGCGACGCACAGAGGCAACGAGAAGAGACAATTTGACGCAAAACATGTTCTGTAGCTTGACAGTTTCGTTTCCTGTTTTTGTCTTTCCTTTATCGTTTATTATTACTTGTATAAAAAGTTCCATCTGCTGCAATGGATGATGAAAATCAACATTGTTCATTATATGATTTATTATTTCAAAAGCACTTTATTACGTGTCTTGATATTACAGCTTGTAGAAAGTACGGAAAAAATTAAAACTATAACAGCAGCTCTTCCTTTCATTCGTTAACTTCTGCAATTCTAAAATTACCATAAATTACTGCCAAATTGATTGGCTAGAGAGATAAACGTGCAAAATGTCTCCTTCGTCACCACCTGCCGTAAACTCAAAATCGATTGTTTTTACTCATTACACACGTTTTTATGAGTATTTAATATTTCCAACGTATGGACATTATTTTACACGTCTCAAACAAGATTTTTTTATATCATTGGCCCTTTTAAATAGTCTGGAACCGATCTTATACAGATAATAAATGTGTCCTCAACTTCAGTAAAATGTTAAATCATTTCAAATGCTGCTGTGCTGGATAATTTCTTAGATTCCTCTAATCCACGATGGTCGTGTTTCAGAAACGAGGTATTAACAACATTTGCACGCAAAAATCGTTATCTTATAACCTCCGTGATCTACAAATTCTCAAGCACTTTCTGTTCTTGACTCTAGCGTTTTATTTGACAAACAATTTTTGTGGATTATTGAGAGAAATGCTCGAATTTGTTGTCGTCATTAAACTTGATAAGATTTGTTCTTTCCGCGAATAACTAAAAAAATTATACATAAAATAAAAGATAGTAAGTTTTTCAGTTTCAACAATATTGTCCATTTTTACCACTCAAAATAACAATTTTTGAAATAATGAACCGTGTACGAGGCTTTGCTATCGTAAATTACTCCTTTTCAACTAATCGATTTTATTAATGTTACTGTAAAGATTAAAGCATTCTTAGGGTCTGATAAAATTATCTTAGGAATTATTAACTGATGAATAATTCTGAGTAATACGTGCATTAATTCAGCGACTTACCTTATGAAATATTGGCTTATGAAAGGCTTGAGAAAAGCTTATCACATTCGAGGAAATATTGGGATTAGATTTATTCATTTGATTATGTGCTACTTGGACGCTCGAAATTACCAGTACCATATATGTACGTTTAGGGTAAAGGTAAGTCTGATCGGGTAAAGTTATATAGCTGGCCAACCATGTGCATTAGCCGTGACGACTGCGTAACCACGGGAAAAGGGTTGAAGGGACTAAAGTAGGATTATTGTTTTCACTGTTAAGACCAAAGAGTACAGTTTACAAGAGTCGAAGGGTTCGTCGTTGTACTACCGCCTTCTGACCGATTTCAATCCTGCATGACCTTTAATTTGATTTGAAAAAAATAAAAAAAGAGATTTATAGCTACATACAAATTTTATCTGCTAAAAATCTGCTAAAAAGATTCGAATTTTTCATTCATAAGTCAATATACAGTAGTTTTCTAATTATGAACACAAAAATTGACAATAAATTTTTTTTTTCAGAATTATTCTTCAGTAGGCGGGACTTCCCCGCTAAAAATGAACAAGGTATGTATATGAGTCAACTAAAAAACATGATTTTTGAATCAACTGGACAGTTCCTACGAAATTCTACATTTTTACTAATAATTTATAATTTAAAAAATTAAAAATAACTCGTAAATGTTAAAGTTTTATACTATATGATATTACTATATAATGATACTATATTCTATGGAATATTTTAAGACGATAACAGAGCAATTAAAATATATTAATTATACGTAAAAAATGAATCAAAAAGTAGTGTAAAAATAATTATAATAGTTGCCACATAAAAAGACGAAAAATCTTATAAAATTCAAACTGTGTATTCATCTAAGCATGTACTGAATTTTTCCAAAAATCTACAAATTAAAAGGTAGTTTTGAGAGTACGCTTGAGATAGAAAAAAAATTAACGTGTAATTTTCAATATTATAGCTATGATATTATACGAATTTTTTAAACTACTTAAATTCCTATTTTATATGCTTCTCACACGTCATAATGACCGATTTTCTTTGAAATTGAATAGACAAACTAGTTAAAAAAAGCTAATAATACGTTATTGCTAAAATAAAAAAATTTCTAGCCCATCATAAAATGATATAAGAAAAAAAGGTTTACAGAGCTTTTTACAGAAAATTGTTCAAATCTTTAGAAAAAAAAATTCTAAAGGGTCTGAACAATATAATTGTTTGCTCCTACCCATGGCAAAAGTACACAAAATTTAATCAAGTTCTACGAAAAATTCACAGAGATTTCCTCCATCGAACCATGAGACTAAGAAGTACTATCTTTGATGAGGGTTCCAAATATTCCAATATTATGGCTAACTTCATATAATGGATTCAAATTTGACATTAATTTCTCGAATTCTATCAACGTATATTCACGGTTATTCGTCTAGAGTGAGATATGCTAACTGACCTTAATGTGCAGACCGCTGACCAAAAAACTAAGTCCTACTAGTCATAAGCATTAATACTATCAATGTCCGGCAGCTATGATATCACATTGATTTCTTGTATTGTAGTACCTGTACGTATAATAAGCTGCAAGGATATAATTCAAATGACATCTGAGAATCGGTAACAGCACTAGGTTATCAAGGTACCAAGACCGCTGCAAGGTTCACTGCTTATATTCAAATTCAATCCATCAACCAGTTTGCCCAGTAGTTTTCTCATACTTTTCCATTGGTACTGTTCATCAAAAAGTGGTTTGAAGCTTTACGATCACCCCAGTAAAAATTCTAAAATCAAAGACGCAATGGAACAAAGGCACTCCATGTGAGACTGGTTGACGATGAGTCGGTGGATGAAAAACACATCTTTTTCCTCTGTCATAGGCTCCAAAAATGTGATTATGGTTAATGTGTAAGGCGAAGGCTAAGTAGCAAATGATTTTTTATTTTGCCCACTCATTGGTGTCTTCAATAATAAAAACATTGAGGCATGAAAGGAGAGCCAGAAGAAGATGACTACATATACATATTGTATACGATGGGGTGAGAAGTAAACGATGTGACTCAAGTCTCTCTTGATGAAGTAATACCATACAGTAGTCTTGCGGAAAAGAAACAGAGGCAGAATCAGAGAATAGGTTTAGAGCGGTGGCTAACGTTTATTTTTAACAACAACAGTACACTACTCGAATTTGACACATCCATGGTGCATTATTGTCGAGCGTTAAGTTTAATCTGTAAATGGATTTTTTTCCTTGTTAAAAAATACACTCACAAATTACGCATGTATACACGTATAAATACGTATGTATTTGTATACGTTGAGATAGTTATAGTTATATATCCTCAAGTATATAGAAGCTCTCATTTGTAGGCCCTTTGCGCTGTCTGCCTCCCCTCATTATGCATCGCACATGAGAAAACTTGCTGCTGCTGCGCGCCGTGCACGCGAGAGGACCAGTTTGTACCCAGGCTTCTTTATAAACTTTTAATGACGGCAAAGCCTAATCGAAAGAACGCGCAGCTTGGCTGTTTGAGAGAGGGGGACGGCCACCAAGGTACTACTACTGTAGCTGAGGAAAGAGACGTGGGCAACGCCGCTCGAGAGTAAATGAGCAAAAGCTGCCAAGCACGTGAAAGTATATACGTTTATATAAATAATATATATATACGTACGTACCATTAGCTATATGTACATTGACAAGCTGAGTTACGCTTGCATTCAAATCAAATATCGAGTCTCAATATTTTGAGAATGAAAAGTACGGTAAAAAAGCTTACTTCAAAGCCACTTGTATCATTTACGTATAATTATGCATCACTAATATTCATTATAATACTTGTTCCATTTGAGGATTAATATTTCTTATTGATATTTTTAGTTGAGAAATTTTCATAACTGAACTACTTTTGAATGAGTAAGGTAAGCGTACTCGCATGACGGTTTTGCATTTGGTTGAAACTTTAATAATTACAAGAACTAAGCTATTAATTATAACCATAAATAAATTTTTACTCACAAGGAGACCTTCTCACCTTTGGGTCATGGATTTGGCCCAAACTTTTTCTGGTGATTCAGGACAGTTAGAAAACATGTCCTGTTATGTTAGGTTGTGTAAATATGCCCTAGAAGCGTTAGATAAAAAATAAACGTTAAAATAATAAAAATAAGCATATAAAGCGCAATAAATATTCATTTACTACCCTCAAACTATTTTGGTTACTTATTTTAGACACCTGGTTCTTGAAAAGATTACACTTCATTCTTAAGAAGTGTTGACGAGAAGTTATATACACCGACGAGTGCAATCACATACAGGTCTATATGCACAGTAGACCGGGCCTTTTTGAAAATATTTTTTTAAATCGTGAGGGCTGAAGGCTGAGTTGACAGTTCAAGGTTTCAAATGAAAAAAGCCGTGCTCAGAAAGTCAAAAAAGTAACGACATGTGTCGATATATTTTCAAAGTTTAAAAACGTGAGTCAAAATTTTAAATTCGAACCAGGCCTGTCAGTTTTTCTGTATGACCAAAATTAATTTAATCAATACATTTTCTTATGTATTTTGTGTCGTAGAATCGATTGGTAATACTAGTTTAGCGATTACCCTGCCTATTAGTGGTGAAAATCGACCTTTTTCCTGCTTTTTTGGATAAAATTTTGGAAAAATGCCATTTTAACCGTTAAGGAAACGCCTAAAAAAATCTGGGAAGTTCTTCAAACACGTTAAGATGTAGGATTTTTCCCGCAAAATCGAATGACAGTATCGGTTTTTGTCTGAGAAATTATTTTCAGTGATGAAATTGCCCTTTTCCGGTATTTTGTTCATTAAAAATAACCCAAAATCGCCACACAGTCGCTCGCAAACGAGCTAATGATATAGTTTTTTTTCTAAACATACAAAAAGCTAGAGTTTTTTCCGTAGAATGGAATAAAAGTATTAGTTTAAGCCGCAGAAATTATCGTCATAGAAAAAAATCGAAAATTCGGCTTTTTTATCCTCAAAATCGATGGAAAATCAAGAAAAACGAGTCCGCAGCCACCAAATTGTATAAGAACATTTTCTAAACACATAGATTGTTAGAATTTTTTTGCAAAATAAAATAGCAGTACTGGTTTAACAAAAAAATTCAATATCAGCATAAAAAATTGAATGTTTGATTTTTTTTGGTCAAAATCCATAAAAATTCAAGAAAAATGAACCCGTGGTTGACCTTATCTAATTCGAACATTTGCTCATTACTTATAATGTTTAATAATAAATGAAATCGATGTGATCTCTAGCAGCACTACAGTACACAGAACAACAGCAACGCAACAGAACAACAGCACTGGTTGTTAATAAAAAAAAAAAAATTTTTAATTGGCGATATTCGAATACCGATGCAGGTAACGGTCACGTGAGTTGATGGTAGCAGACGCGTTATAGCTAAATCGAAATGAGGTGCATATAGCAACTTTCTCGCTTAAATCTATACTACTATTCGATTGTGCAAAAAACTTGAAATAATTATTAAACATTATAATTAATGAGCAATTGTTCAAATCAATTCAATTCAACCACGGGTTCATTTTTCTGGAATTTTTATCAATTTTGCCCAAAAAAATCGAACATTCAATTGTTTATGCTGATATTCAATTTTTTTGTTAAAACCATTGCTGCTATTTTATTTTGCAAAAAATTCTTACAATCCATGTGTTTAGGAAATGTTCTAATACAATGTGGTGGCTGCGGACTCGTTTTTCTTAATTTTTCATCTGAATCCTTGAACTGTCAACTCAGCCTTCAGCCCCCGCGATTTAGAAAAATTTTTTCAAAACGGCCCGGTCTAATGCACAGTGGCTTTCGTATTTTCCGCTATCTTTTGAAGATGCCACTGCGTAATAGTGCTATAGCATCACCTTTTTTGAGATATGTGTGCCAATCGTGTACGAGGGAATTATATGTAACTCAAAGACGTACATATATACGTATACTCCAGTTGAAATTTTTGTTTGAAATTTGGTTGATTATATTAGAGCGAGTTTGAAAAAAATTGTAAAAATAATATTCATGTAAAACTGTAAGAATAATATTCATGAATATATTTTTTAGAATATGAAAACTGATTGAAAAATTTTGAAATGCTGAATCCAGTAATTATTAAATAGTACGAAAATTGATTGAGCTGAAAATTTAAAAGTTAAACGGGGACTTGATGCAAAAAGCAACCCAAGTGTTTCATACTCCATAAGAAGTTCCATAAGAAGTAAGTACGAATCACTCACCGCAAAGAGCCTCAATAAAAATTCCAATCTAAACAGACTTAATTTACGTCTGGCACATAATTACTTAACCAGTTTTTTCCTCATTCTACATAAAAGGTGTTCATTAGTGTAGGTGGATGTAGGTGTTTGAGTGGGTAGGTATAAAGTAGCTATTTATCCTTTTTTAGCGAATGCGTTGCGCGAGGCGTTGCGCAAGAAAAAGCGCAAGAAAGTTGGTGCTCATGTATATAGCTGCAGGCGTCACCCATGATGTAGACTGCCGGGGGAGAAAGGGGGTATAAACCAAGAGCTTG